TGTCAGCTCCGGCCAAAGGCAGGGAGGAAGGGAAGACACAGTGTCGCCTGTACATAAATGAGAAGCTAAACCTGAGTAGCCACAAGGAATGAGACAAAAAAACAGAACAAAGCACCTTCTACCTCAAGCAACAACTTAGTGCTGGCTTAAAAAAAAAAAAAGTGATATTGCATACAGCTGAGAGACACAAGTGCAGAAATAGAAGTAGTCAAGCATAAAAAAGTTTTATCATTTGGTTAATTCAGATATTTACTAAAACGCACACAAGAGCTTTATCACAAAACTAGTTGAACTCCACTGTATTTCAACAATAGGTTTATTTTAAGAAACATAACATGACATTAAGTAAAAATGCAAAATTGTGCAATTATGGCAAAATGTTTAAAAATCCACACATTTGCCCTCATAGGACTACAGTACTTCTTACTAACATACCTGAGCACTGAATGTTGGATGCCATTTCTAAACAGCCTTACGAACAGGGAGCTCTTCAATTTCTTGTAGAACATACACACACTGCATGTTTGGTGCACCAAAACTGCTTTTAGTTATTCTAAATTTTACTGATGGAATCAAGTGGAAATTACAAAATGTTTCCTTCTAAAGTAACTAATAATTTTGGAAAAGAGATTTACACTCACATAAGTCCTTACAAGCTAGAAATTCATTTAATAAAGAGAAATAAATGAATGCAGAAAAAATACCAAGTGGGGAAAATGTACAGATTACTGTTTAAATATTATCAGTACCTTTGGTGCAATTATTTCTTTATTTGTGCTGTGCAAGTTTACTTAAGCCTGACTCTAAAGCAAAACTTTACCAGGAATCTGACTTTCAGCAAAACGTAGAAGCATTTAAAAATTGGCAAAAATGTCACAGCTACATTACTGTCTCAACAAACTCCTCATGCAAAAGAATTAGTATATTCTACTCCCACAGCAAGTTCCAGGATTTAGCTTTTAAACACATTGCAGACTTGGATCACACCCTCAGTTTGAATGGTTAAACAGAATGGAGATCTTCGTACTTTAGTGCAGATAAACAAAATTAACAAACCTACTGCAGAATTAACCACAGCATATTGTACTTCTATACATCACATGACCAGTCAATTGCTAACTCAATTCTATTTCATAGTTTCAAGTAATATATTGAAATTTGTTCTACTAAATAAATATAGAAGATTGTCAAAAAGCAGCAAGAAGTCTTGTAAATATTCAACCAAGCTTAAAAAAACAAAAAACAAGAAAAAAGTTACATAACACTTTGCAAAAAAAAAAAAAAATGTTTTACACACAAATGCAACACTGTCAGGGAGGGTGCTTCAGAAAGCTTGCAGCTAGAGGCCTACAACAGCGCAAAGAGAGCTAGCCAAGGACTAAGGATAATTTTAAAAATGAAATTAGTTGTAATTTTTAAAAAACTCTTATTCTTGTCTATGGATATATATAAAATAATATCCAGAAGAAAACTCAACAAAGAACCAACACAACTGCTGGGAAATGCAGTCTTAGCAATAATTGTTAACTTCACTTCAGAAAAAAAATTCAGGCAGTCACATTGGAAAGAAGCAGTTTGGTGAATCTCCAGAAGATGAGGTATGTAATGCAAACAGGCATTTTTTTTTCTTTTCATTTCACAGTTTTTTGTTTGTTTTTGCCTTTTAAACATTTTGTGCAAGAATTAAGAAATAGAACCAGGGAAGTATTTTTGTGTATTAGAAAGATTCCATTTGGTAACAGTAAGACCACATAGTAAATGAACATTATCCAAATCCTCAGCCATGCCAGGGGGATAAACAATGAGCTAAATATTTGGCTTAGTGAAATATCAGCTGCTAAGCCAGATAATGGTAAGCACTCACAGCCATTGATGGCCGCTGCCATTTCAAGTTAACTGGTTTACCTAGGTCAATTTGAGAAAATAGGGAAGAGTAAGATAGCAAACTCACAGCTCTGCAAAAAATGAGAGCTGTAACAAGTTAAACCTGGCAAATTACAGCTGACACGTGTTTTAGGATTCATCTTTTCCCTTTTAAATCCAGTTTTCACTACTGAAATAGAGGCTGAACTTTGAACTTATTTACTTCTTAAAAAGTCAGCTAAATGTTAAATACATTGAGAAAAGTGTTACAATATATTGGAACTCTATTCTATATTTGCATCTAAGATTATTTAAGCCATGGATACTTATTGTCAATTTTGCTTTAATACACTGGGTAACAAAGACAGCTCAGTAGTGCAAATTTTCACATTATAGATCAGAATGAAATAGAAGGTATTTGAGGGCTTGATTCTGGGGAGAAAAGAAAAACAACTTGTAAAGTTAAGCCACACTTTTCCAAATTACTGGAGCACATGCCAACACTGCACATAGCACTGTACTTTAGTGGAGACAGAATGAACACTCCACACGAAAAGAAAAAAAAAAAAAGAAAAATCAATATTATTAAGGCCATATCCTGTCACCACTCTGTGCAAGAATACCACTGCAGTAAAAATGTTATGTTAAAAAAGACAATATGATGACAGGACAGGGCCTGATGACAGACACACATTCTGAAAAATAACAGGCTGTCTTAAACAGTAGCATAAGGCTAGCCCATTTCAGACAAACAAGTAGTAAAAATGTACTAGCACCATCAACTTTTGGGTTAAAGCCCTTTATGGGATGAAAACAAAAAAGGTTTTAAGCAGTGTTTAAAAAATGTTTATTACAGCACTACATCTAAGTAGCAGAAAACAGGTGTTGGGATTCCCCCCCCAATCATTAAGCTCAATTTTAACAAAAATTCACAGACAGGAAGTGGTACAGCAATTTGAACAGGCCTCTGTCCAGGGCAAAGGTACTCCATGTTCTAATTCTGACTTGAGTTTTTCTCCCAAACTGTAGTGCACAAACAACATCACAAGCATCTTAGCAGATTTCAAAAACAGTAAAAAAAAGATCATTATGAATCAGGATCTACCATTCCTCTACGTCATTTCAATCTAAAATTAAAAAAACCTTCGTGATATTGCCTCAAATTTTACCCGTATTTAAAAAAAAAAAAAGAGAAAAAAAGTCACTTCAAAACTTCTTGGACATCCTTAGCTATTAATGCTAGATTTTTCTCCCACTGTAGTGCATAGTTATCCTGGCTCTTCCACTTAATTTGCTCTTACCACAAAAACACCCCTCTAGTATGACATGATTAAGTGTTTACCAGAAAAAAAATGCTGATAATTGCACTTTGTAACCTCCTTCTCATTTCCCAGGAAAATATCAGTAAATATGAAACTGAACCAGTAATTCCCTCCCCAGACTGCAACCTTTAAAGAGCACCCATCCCCATGTACAAAAAACTGTCTGTTTCAGCTTACAATAAATACTGACAGAATTTCTTTGTTTTCTTTTAAGACATGTTTTCTCTAGCATCAGATTACCACTGAAATCACTAAGGCCTGTTACTGAAAAAAAAATAAAAATTAAATAACTTTCTGAAGACACTGCGGATACAATTTAGCAACAACACATTCAAAATGCCGGCCTAAATCCCAGAGCCTATCTGGAGTCTCATATACTTTTTGCCATTGGTCAGCAACCTCATCATACTGGTAGAGGGAATTCTTTCTGCTGGTTCTGAAAACATGTTCTTCAACAGTGACTTGAGTAGCTCTGACAAACAGATGGAGTTTATTTTTGAGGAGTACGAGTTTTATATACGGATTAATGGACTGATCACATGGAAAGTCTTTTTTTCGAGTCCACTTATTTTGTTCAATGTCATAGGCCTCTACGGTAAACATACGTTGATGGTTTCCACAGGTTCCAGCTATGTAGTAGATGGAGTCATTGTATACAGTTGCCAAGCCTTGGATTCTAGGCACAGTCATTGGGGTCAAAAATCCCCAGTAATCCTTCTGAGGATCATAGCAGAGAAAAAATTCCCCTGAAAAGAGAGAGGAAAAATAAAACATAACTTACGCTTCATTTCCAGAACAGCAATTCTGCAGCTACTAAGCTTTCAGGTATGTTCTTCCACAGACAGAAACACTACCAATTTTTAAAAGCCTTGATCCCATAACAAAAAACCTAGCACCATTGCCTGCTTTATTCCAAATGCATGAGAAAAATATTAATAGCATGAGTAAAAACTACTCTGAGTTTCTACTCCAGCTGAAGAAGAGGGAATTGAAGTATATCACAAATACAACTGTTTACATATTTCCTAGCTATCCTTTACTACTTCTAAACCATGCTTAATAATTTGGGACAAAACTTTTCAAGATTCCAATGTTGAAATGTCTGAAGTATTTGTTTCATTCTTTAACATTTTCACGTGTCATCTACAGGCTGTGGGGTCTCACAATTCAGTGCTTGAAAAGTTGTTAAATCTGAGCAAATAATTGTGTCTTGTACTACACACACATTTTGAAGCTACTTGTATCAGGTGGCTGGGTTACACATTTAGGTTGATTTGCTTAAAAGGATGCCAGGTGAATACTTGCATGAAGCTACTGATTCATCATTAGTTTTGCAATGAGATTATAAAACACCACTTCTGTTGACTGTACAGAGTAGCATCTGCAGACCGTAGATAATGGAAGTTCAGATGACTGAAAGCTCATACTCTAGAAACTGGATGAAAAAAACATCGATAAAGACCACCTTGTCTTTTGTAAAGCCCACGGGAAGAAAGGCCTAACATTTGCCAAATATTAGCGTAATTCAAATCATACATAATTTCACATGGCTATCTCAAGAATTTTAACCAAGCTGCTGTGTAACCAAGCACCTCAAGTATAACAAAGAATACAGAAATAATACAGTAAAATGTGTGGAACATAGCTTAAGAGATCAAGTCTTTACAAATAATACATTTTTTGACTATTCACTTTTGTTCCACAATGTAATCTCCTATGACTGATGCTTGTGTTCTGTTGGCATTTTAACACTCCCATCAATCTTTATTGACTTCTTCAAACTTACAAACTTTCTCTAGAAAAATTATTGAAAGTTAACTTTTTTATACTACTTCAGTGCAACTCAATCAAGGTTTTAGCTACCACCCTCAAGCAAAAAAGTTGCCTATTTTCCATAACATGAATCTTTATGATTTGCTGGTTAGCACAGTGAAGGCAGCTTGCTTATTTATGCAAGTATTGAGTGGTCATTTAAACCACTGAAGCACAGAATTAGTGCAGCTAAGATTTGTAAACAAGATGCACTCTTATTCTACAGGTTACAATAATATCCACTTTTTAGCAGTTCTAAAAAACATTTAAAGGATGAATAAATACTCTACCATGTTAAATATTTTTCAGCATTCCTTTTTAACCATCTAAAGCAGATGTCTGACCCAATAGAAGAGACCGATTGAGAGAACTTCCTAGCGTAAGAGAATTATTTAAAGCCACAACCAACAAGAGTCAAACCTGGCACAGAAACAACAGAAGAAGTAAAATCCCTGCAAATCATGCAAAAGCCCACCAACCTTACTGAGTGGCAGGGAAGCAAAGTCAAGAAATCAGGTTGACTTCTTTCGGTAAATAACAGTGACCTTACAGTATTCTCTATCCCTTTTCTTTCCTGTGGTCCAGCTTTGTATGGAGAGTGATCCAAAGAGGGAACTGGTATGGATCTAAGACCCCAGCTTCTGCAGGTGTTTACACACAGGTGGCCCTTAGCAAAACATAACCAAAACACCCCCCTCCTCATTTCTTTCCACTTCTTGGGACTCTTACTACAGCCTCATAGACCAGTCTCAGCACTTTTAAGTGTAGACTGCTATATGGCTCATATAAAATATGTATTTGTATGTATGCATAAGATCTCCATAAATAAAGGGAAGAATAAATTATTTGATCCATTCCCATAATGATCCTTTTTATTCATTTAAGAATCAATATCTAATACACCAATAAGTCTTATCATTTACCGGAAGAAAGGATGTAAACGCAGTATTGTAATTACTGACCAAAGAAACAGAGCTAACTAGAAAGAGATAAATCGTCTGTCTTAGTTACCAGGATGACTTCAAAAAGCAAGGCAGGGCAGGAAATGAAGACCCACAGTGGCTAACTGACTTTTACAAGTTACCAAGAATACAGACACCAGGAATTTTCACAGGTTTAGCTAAATAAAATGCAAAGTGCTTTTTCACAGGACAGTATCTTTTCTTCAACATTAGTGCATTTCACCCAGATAAAAAAGATTTAATAAAGAATTTTCACACTAAAATTAAATCTATACCGTTGACTTAGAACACCACCAAAACTGTCATTTGTGCAATAACTCAGTACTACAACTTAATGACACGTTCCCAGAGCATCAGAATTCAAGCAGCAACCTCACTCTTCCTTGCCCACTGGTCTCCCTAGCTTTCCCCCCACCCCGTTGTCCCAGGGCACTCTTTAAATGTCCAGGACACTTGGGTTTTCTAAGGTGCTCAATGGAGAGCAGACAGTTGAACAACCCCCACTTCCAATAAAACACCATATAGTCAGTCAAACCACCTTACCCTGTAAAACATAGATGTTATCCTTATATTCCACAGCACTATGAAACTCCATTGCTACCGGCATTGGACAGACAGCTGTCCAACAGTTCTCTCGGCTGTCATAACACTCCACAGACTTGAGTGAGTTTCGCCCGTCTCCTTCATAAACGCGACCACCTATTGCATACAGTTTACCACAGCAATGAACCAATTTGCAGCCTATTCTGGCTCGCAACAAAGGAGCTTTCGGAATCCACCTATTGCCAGAGTGATCATACATCCAAAAATCACTCTCTGCTCTGTGGTCAATGGAGACCTCACTGCTGCTTGGTCTGTAACCACCCGCAATATAAATATCATTATCAGGAGATACAAGAATTCCAACCTCCCTCAAGTCATTTGGTGGCTTGCATAGTTTAAACACTCTCCCTGTGACCGAATCTAAACAAGGCACTGTTTGCTTCTTTCCTGAGTGTTTGTGGGCAGCATCAAAGCATATGATCATTTCAGAAGCGGTCATTCCAAGCCGTTGTGTATAGCCATTGGCACTATGTTGTCCCTTTTGTACACAGCTTTTGGCCATAGCCTGTGCAAACATGGGAGGGATTTTCTCCAAAAATGTCTCTTCCAACAGAGGCATACGGATGCATTTGGCAAATATTTCTGGAAGGTGCACTTCTCTCTTATTTTGTTCATGCTCGAACCATCTTATAATGCTGTCATAAACATGTTCTTCTTTGTCTACATTTAAATCATCACTGTCGAGTATACTTATCAGTTGGTCTTTTCTCAACTGAAGAAATTCTTGTTCTTTGGTGACACTCAGAAACTTTTTACGAATGTAGTCTTGTGATCTGTCTTTGAGTTCCTGATGACCATAGTGATCAGCAAAGATAAACACCCCAATGGAGTTCTGTGGGTCCAAATGACTGATCATATATTTAGCACACTGGTCTTGTATGGAAGGGATCTGGAAGATACTAGCTGCAGTGAACAAAGCTTGAACGTTGGCCTCTGTCAGCATTACTCTGGAGGTATATGCATAGTTCAATACTAAATGCATTGACTCTGCTTCAACACCAACTATACGAACTTCTTTCTGGGTACTCTCTGTAAGGCCGCTAGTGAACATAGATCTACAAAAGAAAAATATTTAGCAGTTTATTTGCAATTACCTTCTAACTACAGGTATAAGAAATAAAATTATATTGTACAGCTAATCCCAGTGCATTTGCCCTTCTATCAGCACAAATACATTTATCACTCACTGATGTAATCATTGTTCTGCTTGGGTACCTAAAATTCACTCAGTTTACATGCAAAGCTCTTGACATACACAAGTCTTTGCACTCAACTTTCAACATGTTATCTCATATGCATATTCTAGCATGCTAAAATATATAACTTTAAAAGGAAACAAGTAGTTTAAATATGCTGTTACTGTATCCACGATGCCCTCAAAACTGGAGGCATTTTTGTTTGGTTGGTTTGTGTTTGGTTTTTTTTAAATCATGTGACATTTTCCCCAATGAAACTCTCCTTTGATAAACAGATACTGATAATTCATTGACGTTAAGAGACCAATAATCTTTGCTTACTAGGTGCACTATATTATCAACAGTTATGTGGAACATTAGTATAGGTGTGATATTTTGTTTCTTTTTTTTTTAGTTTTCATTTAATGAAAATAAGTTATAATTCTGCCTTTAATCACCACTAGAACAATGGACTATTGTACCTGAAATAAGGACTGATTGCAGCAAGAACATTCCTATGACAGGAGAATGTTTTCCCATGATCCACTTCTACTACGATATCTGTCAGTTGTCCTTCATCATACATGGTTTTAAGCTGTTGAAGAATACTACAGGCATGGAAGGGGTCCATTCCACTGCTGACTGTGTTTGAAGAAGGAATTCCGTTCAGTGTTTGCGAAAACTTACTTGGTTCTACAAAACAAAATTGAAACTATTTAACAAAAAACCCCAAACAAACAAAAGCAACCCCCCAAAAGACCCCACATGCACCAAAAAAACCCCATGTATGAACAAGAATTAGCACAAATTAATATTCCATACTTCCTTACTGTCATCATCCATCAACAAGTCTAACATTTTCAAGAGTCAGTAAAGACATAAAACTACCTCAATTTTTTCCCCTTTTCCCCATGTACATGTAGGTTACCATTAACCTATAAAATTATATCCATTAAGAAAAAAATAATATAAATAGTTTATATTTTTTACATATCACTAGGGAAGGGGGAAATTAAGTCAAGAATCACAGTAAGTTTACTGACTTATAAAATGCAGGGAAAAAAGAATGTAGAAGAATACAATAAGCCCCCAACCTACATCATCATTACACAAGTCTATATGTACATACTTAACTTTACACTGAAACAGGAACTGGCTACTAACTTACACAAGTTATGGTTAATTATGTAGACGCATGAAGAAACAGCCCTACAGTAAGTATGTTGGGCAACAAATTCACATAAATTTGTGTATGCAGTTACATGGTTCTCTTTACAAATAAAATACAATTACCATTTAAAATTACTCAAGTACGAAGGAGCTCACATATCATTGTGAAAGCATATGAAGCGGAACGTACACTTCTCAGTAACATGTGATATGCCCAACGAAGTAAATTGCAAAGTGAAAACTGAGCAATATCTCAAGCACAAAAATCTGTTTCGTAATAGCAACAAAATTTTGACGCAACAACAACAAAGGAAAGCTCAAAAGAAAAACATTAGGTGGTAAGAGCTGCAAATCAGGTAAAGCTGCTGACTGCAACAGAGAATGCTTCCAACAAATTTTAGGCAACGCAAATGGGCAGAGAGGATAGCAAACAACAATGCTGATGATGAATAGGACATTTAAATTCTAACTCGTGGCAATATACAGTAGTTACAATTTCTCTTACTCAGAATTCAGACACAGCTTTGAGGACAGCCACAATTAAATCTGCTGTTGGGCACACATTTCCCATGGCAGGCTTGGTGCCAAATATTGTCAGTGTCTCTTCAAAGTACTGTTAGGGAAAGTCTTCAAAACATTTTTTTTTTTTATTTTCCAAATACAATAGTAAATATTTAAAGGTAAGATCTACAACAGGGGAGTTTTCTTTATCACAGTGAGCTCCAACATTCAAAACTAACCAATCCTTCGGGAAGGGGAGAATTTGTTCTTGTTTAGAAACAATGTTAATCACTAGCGAGCAAATTCCAAGTAAATAATACTCTGCTAGATTGGTTCCAAGGCTTCCCACCCAGGAAAGCTTTGATGTACAAGAAAACTTCGATGTAGCTACCAGTGCAGAAGTTTCATTTACTTTCTAACAGTGAAAAAGATGCAAAATAGTTCTTCTCTGACCCTGCCAGTCACTCGGGCAACGAGCACAGTGATCAAGGCAGCTTCCAGCTCTGGTGGACTCAGCCAGGAACAGATACCCATCCCCATATTCCAGGTTTTTTACGTAATCCTTGACACCATCCACATTACAGTTTTCACCCTGTAAAAGCTTCCCAGTCACTTTCTTCACCTCAATTTTTTCCTCTCCCAGCCCAAGCACCTTTTTCTTCTATTAATATTCCTCCCACTTGCGCCTCACAATTTTAATTCTGTTCCTCCTAGACAGCACCCCAAAATACTCTCCACATTAATTTCTCAGGCACCCTTCCCTTCTCCACTCCCCACATATCCACCTTCATAGAACCTTTTATCATGGACAACCTCGCTCCTCCCTCTCGGCTCAGGTCCCCTCACATAGGCCACACTGTGGGGGTGTCCCTCACAGGAAACCTTCCTTCCACCCCAACAAAGCACAGCACCAATGCACACCTGCGCTCTCGCACTGCTGCTCTCTCCCCACACACAGGCCCTCACTCCGGCGTCCTCTTACCTCACACCCCTGAGCCCATCTCCCACAGACACCTCCCAGGCACCTCCTCTACTATCACCTTCCCAATCGGAAGCGACACCCCACACTGCAAGCCCCTCACCCAAGCAGCCCAG